AGGAATTTGAAAGAAACTTTTTTATATACCATACACGAAACACTTTTTTTTTTGTAAACGTGAAATTTATCCTGACACTAACACTGCAACCCGTTACACTAAAGAAATTGATCCCATTTGATAATTGAATACTAGGACGATCCGCCAGAGCGAGACTCATTCAAGACGCCTAGACTACCACACTACATGGTTTTGTAAAAGGTCCTTTTTGTATTAATACTACTACGTGACTTTTTTAGGGACAGACAGTACACAATATTTATATATATACAATATCTCGCTGCATTTACGTCCCGTGAATTTGATCAAAAAGGTCATTTGTTTGTCCGCGCACTTCTAAGTACTATCTTTAGGTATATGCATATGCTGGTACAGAAAGTTGATTATATCTAGCTGTTTTACTTAAAGTAACCTTATTATGCCCAGAGTTAAGCTAGTATATAATAGTCAGGGATGTCGACCATAGCCTTGTTCTTATTATGTTTTGAATACGCTTACTACCAGTCAAAAAATCGTTATTGGATTATACTTCCACCATGAAAATAATTTCAAATATACAAAATTTTTAAAGGCAAAACCACGAACGTGTAATCTTACAATCTCTGATTTTTTTTCTATATAGGTGGACCGATATAGTAAACCATTACTATATCCAAAAGATATTAAGAAAAAGGTTTTAAATAGAGAAGACAAGATTTTTTTTTTAATTGGTTTTTTTTGTAATATTCCGATTGTTCAATTCAAAAACCGCAAATTTATTATATTTTTCATTTTGTTGTTCTCTTGTTCCTATGGCAGCTACATGCTATAGTTGTCCGATTGAAAGCGTAATTCTGAAACATAAATTTATTTTATTATATTTATTTCTCATATCGTTTAAGTAACCTTTTGAGAAGCTGCGAGAGCTCTACACCTCTTCAATTAACTTTATTCGCCGCTGGGATTCGCAATACAAAAATCACTCGAAGTAGGCGAAAATTGAAGAGAAGACAAGCTGAGAATGGCTAGCCACAGCCCGAACTCATTTCGGTCCCCGAAATCCCCACCACTGTCATCAATTTCAGCGGGCCCAACAACTAACTTTACTACTTGCATAGCCCCATCGAACCCAGACCCACAAAAATGGAACACAAACGTGCCCTGAACGGTTTTTGTGGCTTTTTTGCTTTCTGCTCTAAACAACAAAACCATTTTGTCTGGGGATACTACAATGGCGTTAGGGCGGACCATTTTTCTGGGGGTTCGAATAGGGTGGTGTGGCGTAGTGTGAGGTTTGTGAAGGATGTGTGAATTGCTTGGCGTCCATGTGTGTTTGTTGTTTATTTACGGCAACCAGCCAAGAAAAACCCCAAAAAGGCAGCCTAACATGAGGCTTTGTAGCGGCAAACTAAGAAAATATCGCATGGAATGTGGGAAACATGTACATCTCGTAGCACGCTTTCATTCCTGCTATTGTTGTGATGTTTTTCAGGTTCCCGGCATTTTCCCAGCGACTTGGACTGGGAAGGTTTAAACATACGAAAACTTAGTCTTTTATCAAAGCGATGATCATTTGGAAAGCAGGCCAAAGGCGGAGGTGGGACGAGAATAAACGTTCATTTTTGACTTTGGGTTCGTAATGTACTTAATGTACAAAATGAGGCAAGCCCCATTTGCCTAGCTCGCTCTTTAAGAACAAAGACTTATTATGTTATTTGTAGTCAAAAGATCTGAGAATGGAATGATTTTGTGGGGCGGGACAGTCCAAAAATTCTGTGGTTTCACAGAATCGGAGAATTTTTGTATGTTTTTCAGATTAATTTTGGTTAAACATTAGTTTTTAAGATAGTTTGAAATAGAAATAGCGATAAACTAAGAGGTTTCTGATTTGGTGTTGAAGTCTGGTTGTAACAGATTTCTGTGAAGCCTTTTTATCATTGCAATTAAAATTTGGTCCATATTACAATTTTAAGGAATGTAAAAATACTGTATTTATTTAAATCGAATCATTAATTTTCCTAGTCGGAACTCTCTGCACCGGAGTCTCTATGAAGTCTGAACCAAGTTTGTACTCCTATTTTGAGAATTTCATCGTCGGCTACCATTGCTTTTCTTTATTTTCCAATTGTGCTTTTTTTCTTGTGGGGTGCTGTAGTCCGTCGCTATTGTTTTCCATTGGGTGGTGGCTAGCTGTCAAAGGACCCTTCCTGCCTAGTCGCATCATTTCGGTCCACAAGCCATCATCGCGGGGAAACCCTTGGTTTGACTGACGTCTAAGTTCGAGCTTTGGGCTTCATCACTTGATTGTCAATACATTTTAGTCGCATTTTCAGCGAGAGGATAATGCGTGTAATCCGCTATTAAGTGCACATTGTCAATCGACCCTCACGCCCCAGCACTCCACCCCAAAAAGGTGGCCTGCGTGTGGCAAAATCTGCAACGATTCTCACGCTGCTCTTGTCCTTTGCTCCTGTCCAGGCTCTTCTGTGCAGCGAACCCATCAATGGTAGCTTCTGAATACTGACTACTGAATACTGAATTCGAAACCGACATCCATGAGATGAGTTTGGCTCCTGGATGTAGTCGGCTAAAGTCCGCACCCCACCCAACAGTAGATACCAAGAACGTTTGTCGCTATTATGTGTTTTTATGCTACATTTAATGTTGGCTTAAGAGCTTTAAAGCTGGCATTGTTGCATAGAGCTGTGTACTCGGTTTGGTTATGGCTATCCGACTGCCGATTACGGACTGGATGGGGAATTAGCTGTATTCTGTAGACTGAGCTGGATGCAAAATTTGTTTTTTGTTTACTGTAAGCCTTTGAGGAAAACAAAATTCAGAAATAAAATTGCTGACTATTAAAACGCATTCCTTCCGAACGAGACATTAAGTCAAAAACTATGAGCGACTTTAGATCATTCTAAACACAACTTAAAACAAGAAAGAAAGCAAACTTCGGCAAGCCGAAGTTCATATACCCTTGCAGCTATTGCATGAATTAAATACTTTTGAAAACATTTAAATTATGATTTACTTGTGTATATACTGAAAAACAGTGAAGCTATGATGATTTGCAGCTCAATTATTAGATAGTTATTTTATATATTTTTATTAGTTCTATGGGAGCTATATGATATAGACGTCCGATTTTGATAAAATTTAAACCATAATTCTGAAATAATTAAACATTGCCATATGTCGAAGAACTAAACAAAAAATTAAAAAACAGAAAAGTTATAATTTTTTTTCATTTATTTCTCCGATTGTTCCTATGGGACCTATATGATATAGTCGTCCGACTTTGATGAAATTTAAACCGTAAATCGAAAATATTTAACCATTACTAAATGTCGAAGAACTAAACAAAAAATTAAAAAACAGAAAAGTAATAATTTTTTTTCATTTATTTTTCCGATTGTTCCTATTGGAGCTATATGCTATAGTCGTCCGATTTTGATGAAATTTAAAACGTAAATCGGAAATATTTAACCATTACTAAATGTCGAAGAACTAAACAAAAAATTAAAAAACAGCAAAGTTATAATTTTTTTTCATTTATTTTTCCGATTGTTCCTATGGGAGCTATATGCTATAGTCGTCCGATTTTGATGAAATTTAAACCGTAAATCGGAAATATTTAACCATTACTAAATGTCGAAGAACTAAACAAAAAATTAAAAAACAGCAAAGTTATAATTTTTTTTCATTTATTTTTCCGATTGTTCCTATGGGAGCTATATGCTATAGTCGTCCGATCCGGCTCGTTCCGACTTATATACTACCTGCAATAGAAAGACAGCTTTTGGGAAAGTTTCATGCAGATAGCTTTAAAACTGAGAGACTAGTTTGCATATAAACGGACGGACAGACGGACAGACGGACGGACAGACGGACGGACAGACGGACGGACAGACGGACATGGCTAGATCGACTCGCCTAGTGATGCTGATCAAGAATATATATACTTTATAGGGTCGGAGATGTCTCCTTCACTGCGTTGCAAACTACTGACTGAAATTATAATACCCTCTGCAAGGGTATAAAAATTAAATAATGCAATAACTTTGAAAATAGTTTGAATATTGTACACGGTGACTACCAAAAAAGTTTCGTTTTAAATGGATATAAAAAACAAGTGGATTTATTAAGAAAAAAACATTGACTCCGAGCCATTCCTATCGGTGATAATTATATTCGAAAAATTATATTTTTAAATGGGGCTCATGTATGGAAGGAAATCTACAATTTAATCTAGAGATAAAACCTGGTTTTTCAGGAACAATTGGCCTTCGTGATTTAAAAAAGACACATACAGTTTTTTTACGCAACCATTTTTTTAGGACTTTCTTGCCTTTATCTCGAGTTCTGGAAAAACGATTTCTATCATCATGAGTCCATGATTTACTATTAAAAGGATTTTTTAACTTTCCCATGAATTATGAAATTCGATGCTTAGGTTGACAAATAAAAATAAAAACACGTTCGTGTTGTATAGTTTTTTTAAGTGCCACTGTCCTTCCTTTTCTTGTTCTTTCTGTTTGTTTTTCAATTTACTTCTTTAAACTGTTCAAATTTAACGAAAGTTGAAAAACAATTGCGCAAGACATTCACTTTGCCACTTTTCTCTTAAGAAATGTAAAAAGTCTTGGTGTAGCTTGCCAAAATCAGATTTAACACTTTGCCCCATTAAGCCCTTTGCCCCCGATGCAAGGCCACAGGATTGAGGCTCGCATAATTTATAATCAGCTTAATGACAAATTCTGCCAAACTCAAATGGTATTTTACCGAGTCTGGCCACAATTGCAGAAGAGGCAGGAAAGAAGGAAGGAGCCGGCGGCATTTCGGTTACCGAGTTTGATGTAATTTATGCCCAAAAACCTTTGCGAAGACAGGCTTCTTCAGCTAATTAGCTGCATAATTAAATACGTTTGGAAAGCAAAACAATACTTGTGGGCAAGCAAAAACAACGGCGGAGCTGAGTGGGGCTGCAAAACGTGGGGTGATGCCAGGTCGTTACTTACCATCCTTGTTCATAGCCGACTGAAAGCATTTGGCCAGGCGACACGCACGGCACTGATTGCGATGGGTCTTGTCCACAGGACACCGGCCTTTGAGATCGCCGGTTGCCTTACAGGTGTAAATGCGATTTCGATGGATGCTCCGCTTGAAAAAACCCGAGCAGCCTGAAGGAAGGGATTAGCTGAGCTTACACTGAAGTGATTGTAACCGTCTCTAGGACTCACCATCGCAACTGTAGATTCCATAGTGCTTGCCGGAGCTCCGATCGCCACACACCTTGCAAGGAATATCCAACAGCCGGTCACCCGCTAAAAAAATAAAAGGAGAAATATAGTTATTTTAAAATAAATGGATCAAATTTTCAATTATCTTTTCAAAACTTTAAGATTATGAGACTTTGAGATTCGATTATAATCTAACCATATTTGCTTGGGATTAATGATATTACCTAAGAAATGTGCCCTACGAAAAACCGATACGTCTTTCTGTAAATATATCCTACAGGATTCTATTAAAAAATACATTTTACATGGAATTGGGCGGATTCGCCGAATATGTTAAAATAATAACGGTTTTAAGAAATTTTTAGGCTTACAAAAGTTACAAGGGTTATATAATCTAAAATAGAATTTTATAATTTTATCACTTTCCAATGCACATAAGAATTTTCGAGGAATTTCCTTATTCAGTACCAACACTAGCATTTTTACCCAAAATAAAAAGAATTACATAGAAAAACTTTAGGAAAATGAATTGGTTCAGGAGAAATTAAAAATTTAATTTAAAAAAAATTTAAAAATTTAAAATTTGAAATTGTTTGAACATGACACCCAATTTGTTTGGATCCGGTGCTCACTTAAAAAGTTGTTCAACAAAATATTTTTTTAGGCTGTTTGTCGGTTTCATAGAATTTGAAGCACTTGTTATAGAATCATGGAATAATTTTTCTTATGTTGGGCAGGTCGTTACAATATAAGTTTGTTCTACAAATTTTCTAGCTTGTTTAGAAATAGCTAAATTCTGCACGCCCATAACTTCTAAACTAGTAAAGCTACTGAAAAGTGCTATATAATTGGTCTTAATACATTAGTTTTAAAATTATCTTATTTTATATTTTACATTTAACACTTTTTTTTATTATACGAATAATTAAAAAATGGCTTTAACGATTTTTGAATTCTAGCCTTTGAGATTCTTCAACTTTTGGTATTTAACACATGAAATAAATCGTTTTCGAAAGTTCTTAAGCAACGAATATGGGCACTTTTCTCAATTGAGAGCAGTTCACGCCGCCTGGGCAAGAGTGCATCACCAATTAGGGGAGGAAAATGTTATAAATCAAAAAAGGAAGCAAACTTCGGCAAGCCGTAGCTTATATATTGCAAAAAAATTAAATATTTTTTAAAATATCCAAATTTCCATTTATCAATCAATTTTATGGCAGCTATATGATGTCGTTTTCCGATTCGAATAAAATTACAAGTGTAAATCTGAATTATTAAACCATTACTATATCTTACGCATTGCAGTAAGTAGAATTGAGTTTTAATTAAGATATATAATAATAAAACAAATTCCAAAAAATTATTATTTCAGATTTATAATCATGATTCTCTCAGACATATATACACCCAGAAGAAAGATGGTCTTGAAACGCAAAAAAATTGTCTTAAAAAAAGGTAATACTGTCTAAAATTTGGCTCAATGTAATGAAACCCTTAAATCATTTTCATTAAGGTGGACTATGGTCAAGGCTATGAAGGCCTAAAAATATGTCCAAAACAATACTCAAATTTTAGGCAATGTTGACTTAAAAAAGGACTTAAAATAGTGCTAAGTAGCTTAGTTTAAACTTAAAGACAACGTTGTTTGGAATAGAAAACAGAAAATGATAATTAAACTGTATTATTAAATATAAATTATAAATTATCGCAAAAGCCGACGATCAAAAACTGTACATAACGTATATCTATTTTGCCTATTTGCAAGAAAGACAAAAATTTTTAAGTTTAGACTGCGAAAAAAATAAATATTTCAATATCTGAGTCCGGGGTTTACTCCCTAGGGAGTGCTCGTGTGATGAAATTTATCAAAAGTTGTGTTATAAACATTTGCAACTAACTATGACTACAAATTTAATGAAACATAATACAAAATAATTGTTAAAAACTAACTAGTTGGGGTCTTAAACTATTGACTATTTGCAGTGAGGTAACAAATCGCTACAACATAATGTAGCTTATAACATTCAATTTTTAAATAATTACATTATTAAATTACTTTTAGACCACTAAAAAAAAGGACATGGCTTTCCGAATAGTTGAACCTACGTTCCTCATTATTATTAAATTACTTTTTAAACCATTAAGAACAAAGAAATAACATGATTATCCGAGAAGATTACCCAAAAAGTAATGTGCAAGTCATTTGGCCGCTGGAATTTGTAGACACATCGAATTTTTAGGTAAATGGACTACTTTTTAGAAAGTCGATTCTTCAAAAGTGTATTCCAATAAATAAGCTTTTTATGGCTACGCGTTTGATTTTCAAGTCAACACGTTTAATTTTCAAGTCCGCTACATTTTTAAAATTTCATTTAAGACATTAAACAGCCAATACTTTATTCCAATGGAATGAACAGTACGGCAGCGCAAAAATTACCAACAACTAAATTTGCATTTTCATTAACAAGAAAATAATTTATTTAAAGATGATTTTCTTTTTTGCCTCCTTTCCAGTTCTTTAGAGTTTTTCTTTACCGGCTCGAGATCAGGGAATAGTTATGAAAATTAAACGCATGGTTTTAATTTATTCATTCCGATCAATTTCAGGGCAAATTACCTATTTACACGTCTGCACAGCTTGAACATGGAGTATAATCATTTTTTATATTTAACTTTATTACACCTTGAGAATTAAAAAAAATCGTTTTTATATTTGTTGGTACACTCTAAAATTGTCATCACATCCACATTTAAGAGTGTATTGCATTACAATTTACTCAAGAATAGTCGGTTTTTATTCTGTTAAAAAACGTACATAATCAATGGAATATTTGTTTAAAGATACTTAAAAATCCATAATTTTTTGTCAGTTATATTTATATGTATCTAAAATTTAATTCCAAATAAAACCCAATTCTACATACTGTCATACAGAGAATGATCAAGCTTGTAGGCTTATGTAGGACATTTACAAATAAACGCATGCAACTATATTTAACTTTTATTAAGCACTAAGCCCTCGTCCTTAGAGTCTTTCGCCCTAAGTAAAAACAGTGAGTCATGCCTTCGAAAAGTTGCCTACTTTGTGGCGCTGCTTCGAGTGTGTTTGCCGCGGATTAGCTTGTGAAAATGGCCCGCACACTTTCTCACCCCACATGATTGGCAGGGGGAGAGGGGAAGGGCAGCCCTTTGACTGGCACGCTTCGCAAATTAAGTTCAACACTCGGCACTTGTCAAAATAAAACGCTCGCCCTTTGTTGTGGTCCTTTGTCCTGTGACATTTGACATATTGTCGCTGGTGGAGTTCAGGCGGTTTTGGTTTTGGGCTTTGGGTCGGAGTTTGGTCTGCGCGTGTTGCCAATTTTCACACCCTGCGCATCGCCAATTGTCCGCAGCGTGTTAACACCTCTCGAGTGGCCGGGCGTGCCCGCTTTTTCGGGGTTGCATCGGAATCGGAATCGGAATCTGAAGGCCCATTGACACCTTTGGCCGAAGACCTTTTCCAGTCCGTTGTTTTCTTTTTTAAAATTTGGTATTGTTGATTTTACATATTTTTGTTGATTTATGCCATCACTTGCTACTTTGGCACCCCTTTTTTCTTGGTATTACCCATATACAATATGCTTTCTGAATTTTTATGGAAATCTCGGACATGTTTAGATAGGCAAAAAGCTTACAGGGTGTGGACAAAACGTGAGAGTTTTTCAATATCGTCGTCAGAGCTATAGAATAGTTTATTTTAAAATTTGGGATTACCTGGGAGGAAGACAAAAAAAAGGAACAACTAGTGGAATAAGCGGAAATACACAAATACGATATAAGGGAGAGTTTAAAGCGGGAGCCTGACTTGGCTGAACTTAACTAAGCCACTAGAAATTAAGTACACAGATTCTGAACAATTAATTGCACGTCAAAGTATAACAAGCACTACGCTTCTTACACTGTTTTGTGTGTTTGTGCTTTAAGTGTTGTCTATAGACAGTTTGTCCGTACAGTTATAAAATCCTAGTCACACAATACAAATTTGTATAAATCTAATTTCTTACACTATGTTGTGCCCTGCAAATATAAAATCCTTGTCGAACATTACAATTTGTGTATTTCAAATTTCCAGAATTTTAAAATATACAAAACTTAAAGGAAAACAAAACTAAAACTAGGGTAATTTATAAATGTATAAGTTTATATACCCTTGAAGTAAAAAGAAAAACAGGAAAAGAAGGAAACTTCAAACTTCTTCAAGATAAAGTAATAAAATTATTTTCGGCCTTCAGGCGTGTGTTTTTATACCCTTGCAGGGGGTATTATAAGTATTTGCGAGCACAGTTTAAAAGTTAGCGATCTGAAACTTTCACAGTCATCCTAAAACATGTGTACGCACATCAAGTTTGAAAAGCGCCTCGATCGGACGTCTACATCCTATAGCTCCCATAGGAACAATCGGACATAACTTGCACGATTGGAAGATATTTCGTGCAGGGTAAAATCATACCTTGATCAGGGTAAAATCGATCAGACGTCTATATCCTAAAGCTCCCATAGGAATAAAGGGGGTGAAATCGGTTCAAATTTGATGTTTTTCAGGATATTTCAGGTAATAAAAATTCGGCTTGCCGAAGCTAGCTTCCGTCCTCGTTTAAGAATTAATTTATATAGTCGGAACTTCAGTTTTAGCTATTTATTCAAACTTTGTCGACCATCTATATTAAGAACCTATCCTTATCACATGTATGGAAAAGTTAAAGAATTATCTATTTCACTGGAAAAGCTACCGATGACCAAAATCGGATATGCAGAACTGGATATTAAAAAAAAATGACATGGAAACATGTAAATGGCGTTATTTTAAAATTTATTTATTTAAAAAAAAAGTGGTATTATGCAAAAATTTGAGTGCCATATTTTGAATCAGGGAGTCCATCTGCACCGGAAAATCAAGGATTGATCACTGGAGGATTTCATCAATTTGAATTTGTAAACCAGGGTTATTTGATCGTTTCTATGACAGCTATGTGATATCAATTTACCGAGATTAATTAAATTATAAGCGAAATTGTGACTTATAATCCATTACTATGTAAAAACGAAAAAAAAAATTAGAAAAGAGATCAATTTCTTTTTTGTTAATTATTTTTCATACATTCCAATGGAAGCTATATGAAATAGTAATTCTAGAATAATAAACCAATACTATATGTGGAAGAACTAACAAAAAAAATTGATAAACTGCAAAGTTATTTTTTTTTGGTTTGTTTCCGTAACATTAAAGAAAGCAAAAGATAAGCGTTTGATTTAGTTGTAAAATCTACCAGACTTTGTACACCTCATAGACCAACATGGTCTCCTAAAAATTTCAGTATGATCGCATGCTAGCTGTATAAACTAGAGGTTTCGTTTTTATCATTTTATTGCATAACATTCCAAAAAAAGGATCTTTTTTAATGAAACAAGAAAGAATGGCACTCAGGAAATCAGGAAGCCACAGTTTATATACACTTGCAGCTGAAATAAAAATGTAACATCACTATGGACGACAGTACATGTAGTGACGATGTGCATTGAGAGCGTGTGCCTAGGAGACTACTAAATCAGAACAAAACATTGTGTGCAAAATAATTGGTTCGGGAGAAAGGGCGATTCAAGTGACATACACAAAATTTTTTAAAGTGCAGTTTTTGAGCTTGGGTTTGTAAAATATTACCCTATTTTAACGCAGTTCAAATTTTATTCAAAATACGCGTCGAATGACACCAAAACTGCTTGGATCCGATGTGGTGGGCAGGAAATCGCTAAAAATAGCTAAATATTTCCTCACGCTAAAATAAAAATGCTTGTGTGGGCAAAATACCTGGATGAAGCGGTCCGAATGGAAACATTTAAAAAGTTTATTTATTTAGTCGAATGCTTTATCATTTTTCGTGTGATTAGGGCCTTGCATAATAATTGCTTTAAGCTTTTTAAATAATAACATTAACACGATTTTTACCTTTCCATTGACAGAAAAAGCACTATAAATCAAAATAAATTCCCATATCCTGATTTCCGCGTTGAGTAAACTTAACTTTTTTAATGATGGATAATGTTTGAAACATTTAAAGATGGTCATAGGAATTAGACTATCATAATGTTACAAGGACTTTATTCATTTCGTTAGTCCGTCGAGTATTGGAATACTGTTTGCCAATTGAAAGTGCCAATTATAGTGTTCAAAAAAAGTTTTGAAATTTGCCCTACGGGGCCTAACTGTCATGCAAATTTAATATTACCACCTTCCTGTAGTATATTTATTTGAATATATTTACTAGAAACTATGAACCATTAACCTTTAGAAGTTTTGTGTAATAGAATTAATAGCACAACCTTATTTGTACTACCGGTTCCCTCAATCTTTAAATTGCATAATGCTCCAACAAAGGGTGCTGTTTTGTCTTGTTAAACTACTTAGCACAAGCCGCCGGTAAAAGTTATTCGTAAATTCCGACGCATCGCTTTACCTGTGCCCATTTTCCGTTGATGGAAATATTTGAACCCTAATGTATCCAGTTTGCTTAGATTTACGTTCCACACTGCACACTTTAAATTGGCAATAGTGTTTGACTTTAAGACGACTTATTGAGAACTCCTCGCACCACCGTAGCACAATTTCACTTGCTATTCAGCTATTTTGCAATTTTTCCAGATGCCGACGCGATTCGCTGCCGCTGGAATCTAAAACGGATCGCCTGGGCTGACGGACCAACTGCGAATGAAACGGGAAGCTAAGGCTGGCAGAGCCAGCAGCGAACAGACCGCCAATTACGAAAGTGAAGCTGCCAAGGAGAGGTCCTTTTTTGCAGTCAATTTGACAGGAGGGCGAGCCAAGCCAAAGGCAGTAACCACCCCCACCCACATCCCACATCCCACGTCCCACCACCCGCCGAAAGCCACAAACGGAAAAGCGAAAAACACAGTTGAGACGGGAAAATGAAAAGCAGCGAGCGCCGAGAATGCAGAATCCAGCATCGAGAATCGAGAACTGAGAACCGAGAACCGGGCAAAGCAAAACGAACAAAAACAAACAAAAAAAAAAAGGAAACCAAACGAAAGTCGAAAATTTACGAAAAGCTACCAAATGTTACATTTCATCCCTCGATGGTGGACCAAAAGCAGGCGACCAGCCACCCACCCGTCCACCACCCACCCATTCCACAATCGACAGCGTGGTGGACACACACCAGCAAGGAGTCCCAAAAGAGAGAGAGAAAGAGAGTCGCGGGAGGAGAGCGAGGAGTGGCGGGTAACCAACCGGAAAACGCCCTTTTTTCAGTGTCCTCGTACTGATGCGATTACAGCAAATGAGGGGACTTCCTACCGTCCACCATTTTTGTTTTTCTCCCCTCAGCGCACACACACACACACACACACACACACACCAGCGCAGTGAGACTCCGCACGCACACTAGCGCACACGTCCTGTGGCTTTCGACAATTCACCACAAAATGTCAAGAATGACGAAAAGCTAGCCGAGGATGTATTGGTATGTGCATGTGCTGCTGCTGTCCCGCTCGCACAGCTGCCTTTTCGCTCGCTTCCCTTCCGCTGTACTGCTCCTGTGCTAGGCAAATATCCTTCATCGGCAGAGATGTTGAGATCTCCTGGCTTCTCTCCTTTTTTCTAGGTTTTTTGCTCTTTGTCTGGTGGAATCCGGCGCTTGTAGGCTGTCGGATTATTAGTTCTAAAGTCAGGATCTCTTCTGCCGAAAGGGCGCTACAGTTGGGGTACATTTGACTGGTTGAGAGTCAGTTGAGTTCACTTGTTTCTCTGAATTACTTGTATTAAAATTGTGCGTCTAGGGCAAGTTTAAAGCAAGCATATAATTTCGGTTCTAGCAACACTCTTAATTCTGAGATAGTCAAATAAACAATAAAATAAGCCAGTGAATTATTTTATTACTCCGTCGATAAGAAGCTAGAGCATGAAGTATGAACTGCTGAGATATATATTGATTTTGTGCAATTGTTTTTGGGATACACAACAATGTCGTTCGATTTGAAAGTATTTAAAGAAAATATAATTTTGAAATTTTTTGTGAACCCTTTTTTTTATTTTTAGCATGAAGAGTTATACTTTTGATGGATTGAAGAAGAGCTAAATGTATAAACTTACGGGCAATTGGAATTAAGTATCATCCGATGTCACTGCACGACATTTAGCAAGACATATGTGGGAAGAACATATACCTTTCTCATATCTATTGATGCCTATGTTTTGGGATGAGCCCTGCCTGTGCGAGTGGCAGTGGTTGTGGGCCACTCCGCAATGGCGTTTCCCCAGCTGGCACTGGCTATCGAAATCGCAATCGCAATCGCAATCGGAGCTCGGTCGGTCGGTCGGTCGGTCGGTCGGTGTTTTGGGTCTGAGGCACGGAGTTGTTGGTATGTTGATAGGGGTTGATTTACTGACTCTCATCCAAATTGAAGTGACTTTTGCGACAGTGTGAGCGGGGTGCTCACACACACACAACCTCGCAGCAGAACGTCTTGCACATGGCAATGGCAATGGCACTGGCACTGGCACTCGGCTTAGAGGGTGGAGTCTTGTAAGTCGATTCGGCGAGGGGCTCAGGATAAGCCCGTGTCCATTACACAGCCCATTTGGCTGACTGTGGTTACATGGGCGGCCCACTGCTCGTATATAAGGCGCACAATCCTGCGGTTATATTAACCAGTCAGAACGCAAAGTCATTTGCAGCAACGACGTCAACGTCGCCGTCGGTCGTAACTCACCCAACCACCCCCCACCACCCAATCGACCCTGCCACCACCCACACTCCCCCCACCCCGCTCTCCACACACATGGCAAATTTGCGGCATCAAGAAGTCGCATTTTTCTATGCCCGCTCCCCTCTCGCTCACACTAGCGCTCTCTTTTGCTCTCACAACCCCGATTAGTTTCCCAGTGTGCGTGTGCGGCTAGCCACGCCCCCCAGGCAAAGAAAACTCACCACTTTCCGGAAATCCTGCGCATGCGCTCTCGCCCAAGTTCGAACTAGAATTCGAAATGCCATTTTCGACAAAACAAGGAGGCTTAGGGCTTTCATTTTCCTGCCTGTCGAGGCCGGGAGTGTACGTAGTTCATTCTACTCGGGCATCTGAAACAAATCGGAAGTCGGTCGAGCCAAAAACATTCACAATTATTTGATTTGTCGGGCTAATTGAAAAGTTTCAGGTACGTTTTGTAACCGAAGTCTGTTTAAACGAACAGCTCGCTCGCCTGAGTTAATTTGTTTTTGGTTTTCCTTTAAATGTTTAATTACCGATTAAATGTTTATATATTTATTTCCAGTGAGCATGGACGGCTTCTATAACAACAACGGCTGCGGCTTCAATAACAGCGGCTACTCGCAGTGCCCGAAAAGCGGGTCCTGTTGCAATTGCCCCGGTGGCAACTGCCCCCGAATGGAGGCGGGTGGCAACGATAGTCACGGCAGGAGCCAGCAGGGTTGTCCTGGCGGCAACTGTTGTCCCGGCGGTCGCTGTCCGGCCGGAAAGTCGCGCTTCAATCCTTACATGCGGAACGGTGGATGCTAGCACAAAAGAGCTTGCGCTTCCCTGCCCGACAAACCAGATGCATCGCTTGGCCCACTTAGAAAAAACACCTTCTTGTACAATGATTTGATAAGTCGGAGTGGACCATAACCCAGGATGAAATGGTGCTTTCATTCAAATCTGGCAATCCAGACACGGTTTCACCTGCATAATATCATATTGTACAGTTTCTCAGCCCAAGGGATCCGACCAAATTCCATGTAAACGAACATACATATATTGCTCATAAAGAGACCTGGTCGATGCCGATTACTTAGTTGTCAAATTGGTTTCAGTATTTAATTTAATTTGAAAAAAAGTTATTAATTTATCGGCGGATTGCTATCTATTAGTTTAATGGGTTGCGATTATAAGGATTAAGCAATTTATGCAAACAAATCGGAATTTAAAAAACGTTCTAATAACAAATTGAATTCTTGATGACGAAAATCGGTTGGTTATTCAGCTAACCAAAATCAGAACAATGAATATACTCCCTAAAAATAATACGGTTTTAATGGCGCCATCAGCCAGAAAATTTAAAATAATGATCGTTAACTTCTAAAATAATGGTCCGACATCGTATGAATCGATAGGTATTGACCGGATAAACATATAGAGCTTTTTAACTGACCTGTACCATACAACAAAGGGCCGTGACGGACTCTCGCGATTTTTGGGCTTTAAAGTGGTCGTTAGTACCTTTTACATACTTTTTCGCGAATACAATACATTTTTAGTGACGGGCAGTATTAAATCTTTAAAAAAATTGAAGTACCAAAAAAATATATTTTAGGTGTCATTTATTTTAATCAGGGAGTTCAAATGAAGCGAACAATTAAACTTTAATTTTTGACAATCGCGAATGTTTTAGAGATATATCTTTTAAGCTGAGCTTTTCAACGCACAAAGAAAAAAGAGTTTTTTATTGGCGAAAATAAGCAGGACACAAAAACAAACAAAAGTAACATACAGCCCTTGTAACCATTCCAAAAATTAAATATGCTTTATAACAACTATACTTCGATTTGAATGCATATAATGTTAAAAATCGATCGTTGTCCGATTTTAATAAATTTAAAACAGTGATTCTTAAATAATCAACTATTTCTATATTTTGAAATATTTTCCAAACAAAAACACCTCTTAACGGGGTAAAAAAGTCGTGACGATCGCACCTTCAACATATAAAATATCTGATATCAAATTTTGTGACGAGCATTCGACTAAATAAATACACGTTTTAAATGTTTTCATTAAGTCCACTTAAAGGTATTTTACCTACAGACTCTGTAGTACAGAGGCAGTTTTATCTCAGCGTGATGAATGGGAACAGTTAAAAATTTTATTTATTTAGTCGAATGCTGAATCATTTTTGTCACAAAATCAGATACCAGATATTTTATGTTTTACAAGCAGCTATTTGATACCGTAGTCTGATTTTAATACAATTATAACCGTTATTTTGAAACAATAAACAATTACATTGAATCGAAGTATGATCAAATCAATTGGAAAACAGCCAAATTATAATTTGTATCTTATATTTTCCCGATTTTTACCCTGGCAGCTGTATGATATAGTCGTCCGTTCCGGCTCGTTTCAGCTTGTACTAATAGTTTGAAAACTGATGGACTAGTTTGCGTAGAAACAAGTGGACAAATAAAAGCTAGATAGACTCTTCTAATGATGCTGTGTTGTTGGGAATGTGTTCTTCTGACTGAAATTAAAATGCTATTTGTAAAGGATATACAAATTAACGAGAACATTTATACATTTATGCAAAGTCTCTGATTTCAAATAAGTTTGCTTTAACTAAGATTAGTGTTAAATTTAAATTTGTTCTATACCAAAAGTTAAGGAATTTCAAGGGTCATAAACGTAAAAGGTTAAACAAAAATCGAATCTAACAATTTTTAAAAATTTTCAAAAAATTGTAAGGACTTTTTCATAGGCTTGGATAGGCTTCAGTCCGGCCAGAGTCTACAGTTAAATTTGTAGAAACACAGGAGACGAAAAGGGACTGGAAGTTGCCGCCGGGATTTTGTTACCGGGATCACGTGATCGGCCTCGTCGTCCGTGTTGCATAGAGAAAACAGACCTCGGAAACGCCACACGAAAACGGGACCGGCGTAGATTTAACTGGCGGGGATTTCGACTGGGTTCTGCGCGGAGCGAAGGGGGAGGGCGCGGGGAAATCGGCGGAGATTTGCCCGTCCGGCAAGAGTTCAGATTGCGCAGAGTAAACCTCGGAAAAAGAAAATATGGGCTTTCGCGTTGTGTAGAGAAAACAAACCTCGGAGACGCAACTCAGAGACGCCTCACTGGCCCGAAAAAGCCACTCGGTGAAATTCACTAAATTTTACTAGCCTGTCCCTAACCTGGACGTGAGTAGAAAAGACCGGCGGTAGTTTCCCGCACTTTCCCCCGGTCTGGTAAGCGTTCGTATTACGTAGAGAAAACAGAGCTCGGAAACGCAATGCGGCAACCTGGCCAACCCGAAAAAGCACTCCGTGAAGTTCACCAAATTTTACTACCAGCACTTGGGGTTTTTAGTTGCACAATTTATCTTCCTTTAATTTATTCTCGTATTTTCCCTGAACTTCGCACTCATTGCGAATCAGAGGCACTGCCTGCCTCTGATCTCTGTTGCTTATCTTACTCCTGAGCTTGATCTGATGTCGCCGTCTGCTGGTTCCTTCCGCTGAGTTTTGCTGGTGGTCCGTCCTGTTCGGCTGCCGCAAAAGAAAGAGACCGATCTCAGTGGATCGCTGTCCCACATCGGCACGCTTGTTTTTGTACGCTTGGGTTTGTTTGAGTGGGAAAATGTGAGGCGCCTTGAGCGTCCTCACACCCCCCCTTTACTTTGGGGTGTTTAAAGAAGTGGGCGGAGGGCCACGATGACTTCTCCCCGAGCGGTCACGTTGATGCGAAATTTAGCGCCATCGATTTTGCGGAGATATCGCACGCGCCGGCGATCCTGAGCCTGGACGGATGCGACGAGAGCGGGGGGCAGACGGCGGTCCGGGGTGTCCACCCTCCAGTCTTCTGGGGCCTCGATCCAGTCTGGTGTATCCCGAGCTGAGTCCTCCGCTCGGTCCTCCTGGAGAGCCTGGCGTACTTCGAGCTGCTCTCCGCCGGTTATGCATAGCTGGAGGTCCAGACTTTCATCCCCGCTTTGGAATGCCGCCGGCGCTGGGGTTCCCAGGAATCGGTCCAAAACCGCGGAGGGGATGGATAGGCCGGGTGTAGTCGGGCTGTGGGTGGACAAGACCGAGTCGTGGCCTTGGGACTCTCCACTACTGTCGGTTTCGGAGCCTTCTCGGTCGTCAGCGGGTCGGTATCCTCCCTCCACTTGATAGGGATCCTCGGGTTCCATGTCCGTTGTTGAATGTGGTTGTTTCTGAAAGGTGTCCAAATAGTTAGCCTAGTACTACGTTACCTAACTTGCCTAGCCTGAGTGCGAAGATCAAACTATCTTTAACTAGTCTATTCGATATAATTTTCCCACTTTAAGATAACTCGTTACTAGCTTCGTCGCTTACGTCTACCCTGGTAGAGTTGTATCGGGTACGTCATCAAGTGTGGGTTGAGAATCGCTCCTCCTGGGGTCTTCTGTAGAGTCGTCGTGTTGTTCTTCGCGCGGGCGATATTCCTTCAGATCGCCTATGCCAGCTGTACGCCTCTTCCGGCCGTCTATCTGCTGTAGGCGCACGACATTGGATGATAGAAATTTCATCACCTTAAATGGACCCGCGTACTTCGGTGCAAGTTTTGCGCTAAAGCCCTCGCTGGCCTTGGACAGATGGTGAAGACTGACTAGCACCTGTGAATCTATTTGGGGTCGCCACTCGGTTGTAGTGTCGACTTTGTTCCTGAGAAGCTATGTGATTGGTTTCCAGGGCGGTGCGGAACGCTTCCTGAAGCCTTTTGGCTCGTTCCGTTGGGTCCAAAGGCGAGGCATGTAAGTCGGGTGCGACCGCATCGAAGAGGGCACCTGGCAACCTAGGCTACCGACCTTGTACTAGATAAGCCGGACTAAACCCCGTGCTATCTGAGATGCTGGTGTTTATGGCGAGGGAGATCTCGGGCAATAGTTGGTCCCATGTCCGATGATCCTGATTCACATATTGTGCTATCATTGTCTTAATAGTACGGTTGGCGCGCTCCGTCGGATTTTGCTGGGGGGAGTACGGAGCGGTGTATTCCAGTTGAATACCGCTGTTCCGGCAGAGCGCCCGGAAGCTTCGACTGGTGAACTGCGTGCCGTTGTCGCAAATCAACCTCCTGGGGGCTCGAAAGCGAGAGAGGATCCTTTCTCGGAATTCGAACTCCAGTTGGGCGGCAGTGGCCTTCTTCAATGGGATGAGCTCTACCCACTTGAAGAATATATCGATGAAAACCAGGAGCATGGTGTTTCCACGTCGGGTCCGGGGAAGGGGTCCAACGGAGTCGGCTCAAACGAGCGCGAACGGCTTCGTAGGTTGCCGAGTGAGCATCTTGCCAGCTGGTTTACGCTGGCTGATCTTGTACTGTTGGCAGCTCAGACAGCTAGTGACATACCGTACCACGTCCCGATGAAGTCCAGGCCAGAAGTAACGGGCGATCCTCCTGAGTGCCTTCCGGCTGCCCAGGTGCCCGGCGGAGGGATGGTCGCGGCATTCTCCTAGTACGCGTTGACGCTGCCCTATGTGTCTATAGAGCTGTCCATTATCCAGGGAGTAGTCCGGAATTTCTCGGGACGTCTTTGGACCTGCTCAAGTCGGCGGCGGAGCTGGCTTCCGGGGTGCCCCTGGTGTGAGCGGGCTGGGTAAGCGCTCGGGGGCGGCGCTCGTGGGATGCTCGTGGTGGGCGGCACAGTTGCGGAGTCGATTGGCGTTGTCGTATGTGGCAGTACCGTTTTCCCTATTTACTCATTGTCTAGGCTTTTAAATCTTGGGTGCTCTTGGGTAATCAAAACAAAATCTCACGGCTGAACATGGGTCTTTAAGCCATGCGGTTGATACCAAAAAAAGCCCCAACTCCTGCAGGATACCTAGGTCGTCCCTGAGTCGTCCCTGCTCGGGCGCCAAACTGTAAGGACTTTTTCATAGGCTGGGATAGGCTTCAGTCCGGCCAGAGTCTACAGCTAAATTTGTAGAAACACAGGAGACGAAAAGGGACTGGAAGTTGCCACCGGGATTTTGTTATCGGGATCACGTGGTCGGCCTCGTCGTCCGTGTTGCGTAGAGAAAACAGACCTCGGAAACGCAATGCGGCAACCTGGCCAACCCGCAAAAGCACTCCGCCAAGTTCACTAAATTTTACTACCAGCACTTGGGGTTTCTAGTTTCACAATTTATCTTCCTTTTAATTATTCTCGTATTCTCCCCTAACCTTCGCACTCAGTACTGCCTGCCTCTGATCTCTGTTGCTTATCTTACTCCTGAGCTTGATCTGATGTCGCCGTCTGCTGGTTCCTTCCGCTGAGTTTTACTGGTGGTCCGTTCTGTTCGGCTGCCGCAAAAGAAAGAGACCGATCTCAGTGGATCGCTGTGCCACGTCGGCGCCTTGAGCGTCCTCACAAAAGTATAAAAAACAAAAATAAACTTTAAAACTACTTTATTGAGACCAATTATGTCAAGGCTTTGTGTCTAGCATTTGACAATTACTTTTAAATGACAATTATCACTGTAGCATCTCTAGTTGAGAAGTTAAAGCCGTGCAAAGTTTAGATATATTTATCGATTTGCCGCCAAACAAGCTAGTTTTTCAAAAAGTCGTAGAACACAAATTTTTTGTAACGTCCTGTCCAACACAAAAAAATTCCAGAATTTTAAAACAGGACCTTAAAATTTTTTGAAACTGACATACGATGAGGAAAACTTTTGTTATTTTAAATATACCAAAATCAAGTTTTTTTTTTAAAAACTTTTGAACGGAGCATTATATCCAAGCAAGTTTGGTGTCATTCGACTAAAACTTTGAACAAAATTTAAACAGAGTTAAGATAAGTGTAATATTTTATCAACCCAAAAACTCCACTTAAAAAAATTTTATTATGTCACTATCAACGCCCTTTTTCCCAACCCAATTAACTTTCCTTAAGTCTTGGTATGCAATACTTATTCACTTAGCGATACCTTTCGATTGATGCAACACCAATTACGATCGGGCCACAGCACACAGCAGATTTTCAATTCTACGCCTCACCCAGTGAGGCGTTTGTTACCTTACTCTTCAAGGTTAATGTTAATTGATCCAAAGTCTTTAAAACATCGTAGAATGTGCAGCGGAGTAGTTTTTTTGCATAAGCTTCTCATAGATGAGGTGAATTCTGGCCTCCTCCTAAGCTATATTAACATCGCTGTTCCCTCAAGATTTACTCGTACTTTTCGCCCTATTCACTTGCCAATTTGTAGATCCAACTTTGCCCTTCATGAGCTCTTTCGGGTGCTTTGTTCCAATTATAATGCAGTATACCCTGCAATATCTTTCGAAAATTCTATTGATCGGATATCAGCTAACATTTATGCTTTTCTTGAATCATATAATAGTTAGTTAGTTTTAAGTTATATATATTTTTAGCATATATGTGTAAGTTAGCAGTTCATTGTTAACTATAAATCAATAAATCAAATCAAATATATATAGTAGTCTCCTATGCATACGCACTTGGTCCGGAACGTCACTACATGTACTGCCGTCCATAGTGATAAATTGAAAACCAGTGAAGTTACATTTATACATTTGCAGAGGGTTTTGTAATTTCAGCCTAAAGTCTCTACGCAGTGCAGGAGACATTACAGCCCTATAAAGCATATATATTCTTGATAAGCAGCACTATGAGACTCGATCTAGCCATGTCGGTCTGTCCGTCTCTCCTAGGGTAAATAGTTAGTCTTAACACTTTATCCCGAAGTGCATTCAAATATAACAGCGAAGTTAGTGTCAAAACTGTGAACTCATTTTAATTTGGCTTAGGCTAAGGTTCGGAGTTCGAACTTAACGATAGATACGGTTCCGGTTTACGATTCGACTGGTCGATATGCTGGACCGGGATCAGGTCCGAACCGGGGTTACACAAATAATATATATTTTTTAAAAGACAACAAAACCAATTATATCTTTATTGTTTTTCGTAAGTTCGTGTATTAAGTTTTCAAAAATTAATAGATTTTTAAAATCGTTTTTTTACGTTACCTTCTCATGGGCACTTAAAGATGTTAAAAATTTGAACTTCTTTTGCTTTCCGTATGCAAAATCGTCCATACCATTACTGGAAATATCTCAATATAAGTTCAATTACATAATTGAAATGGGTCAAATGAATGTCGTTAAGTCTATTGCACTGTATTTTGTACATTATATCTTTTAGAAGAATTAGTCTGTATTTTAACCAAACAAAAACACCTCTTAACGAGATGAAATGTCGTGACGTTGCAACATTTCTGATAGCAAATTTTTTACAGAAATGGTTAAGCATTTTACTAAATAAAGAAGAATAAAGAAGAAATGTTTAAATTTGTACAAAAATAAAAAAAACGCATACAAATTAATGTTAAAAACTTACACACTGCTGTGTGTCAGTGATTGTGAAATTTTTTTGTAAAGAATCTCGGAATCTATATAAGAACTGTACCTCGGAGACCATGCTTACCAACTTAAGGGGGGATTCTGGTCTAGATTTTTTTTGCATATTTTGAATGTTTGGCGCCCGAGTCATTATTAATGTTTCCTAAACTTTAAACGCGATTTTCTCGAAACTACTTTTTTTGAGTTGGTTGACATGATATTTCAAGTTCTACTGAACTGAAATTTGGTATATATCTTGTTTATATTACTTTCAAGGCGTTTGCACTTTGACTTAAAAGAAAATTGTACTTATAAGTATTTTTAAAATGTTCAAGACAGCGCCGATTTGTTATTTTAAATAATTTTCTTAAGTTTTTAAGCCGATAATGACATATTACTAATGAAGAATTTGTTTTATTTCTTTTTCCGTCCAAGATGCATAAATACTAATATTTTTTTTTGTTTTCTTAAAATATCAATAAAAACCATATAAAAAATTATATGTTTAAAAATGTTTTCATTTCTATTTAAGCTTACTTGAAACAAGAAAGAAAGCAAACTTCGGCAAGCCGAAGTTCATATACCCTTGCAGCTATTGCAAGAATTAAACATTTTTGAAAACATTAAAATTATAATTTACTTGCGTATATGTTTAAAAACATTGAAGCTATGATGATTTGCAGCTCAATTATTTGATAGGTCTTTTATATATTTTTATTGTTCCTATGGGAGCTATATGCTATAGTCGTCCGACTTTGATGAAACTTAAACCGTAAATTGGAAATATTTAACCATTACTAAATGTCGAAGAACTAAACAAAAAATTAAAAAACAGAAAAATTATAATTTTTTTTCATTTATTTCTCCGATTGTTCCTATTGAAGCTATATGATATAGTCGTCCGACTTTGATGAAATTTAAACCGTTAATCGAAAATATTTAACTATTACTAAATGTCGAAGAACTAAACAAAAAACTAAAAAACAGAAAAGTTATAATTTTTTTTCATTTATTTTTCCGATTGTTCCTATGGGAGCTATATGCTATAGTCGTCCGATTTTGATAAAATTTAAACCGTAAATCGCAAATATTTAACCATTACTAAATGTCGAAGAACTAAACAAAAAATTAAAAAACAGCAAAGTTATAATTTATTTTCATTTATTTTTCCGATTGTTCCTATGGGAGCTATATGCTATAGTCGTCCGATTTTGATGAAATTTAAACCATAATTCTGAATTATTTAACCATTGCTATATGTCCAAGAACTAAACAAAAAATTAAAAAACAGCAAAGTTATAATTTTTTTCATTTATTTTTCCGATTGTTCCTATGGGAGCTATATGCTATAGTCGTCCGATCCGGCTCGTTCCGACTTATATACTACCTGCAATAGAAAGACAACTTTTGGGAAAGTTTCATGCAGATAGCTTTAAAACTGAGAGACTAGTTTGCATATAAACGGACGGACAGACGGACAGACGGACAGACGGACGGACAGACGGACAGACGGACGGACAGATATGATATGAAAGACAGACCGAATTACACAAGCCTGTTCCAGTTTTCACTCGGATGTGAAACTGATAACATTTTCGAATTTCCCTTTAACATCATCGTGTTTACAAGCAATGTCTTAAATTATTGAGGATGTTAATCGATTGAGTAAGGACTCCAAGTATTACTCCTAGTATTATTTGTACTGTATAAAAGAACAGGAACTTCATAAAAATGTGAATCGGGGCTATTTCAACAATCGAAAATAAATTGCTCGTAAACTTTTGTGGTACCTGGGAAAAACACGCAACTTCTGTTTCGATAGTTTTCTCTGTTTTATTTTTTAAATTTTTATTTCAAAAGGTTAGCGCGTTGTCGAGATATCAGCTGAGAAAAAAAATGTGTGGACCCTAACAGACTTACTCCTACGTAACAGGTAGAAGAAAGTGTTTTCGATCAGGATCCGGCTACTGATCTAGCCATGTCCGTCTGTCCGTCCGTATGAACGTCGAGATTTCGGAAACTATTAAAACTAGAGATTTAAAATGCAGATTCAAATTTATTTCAAAACGGAGCCACGCCCACTCTAACGCCCACAAACCGCGAAAGTCTGTCACGTCACTTCGCGACATGTTAGGCCTTAGCTATTGGACTCTGCCTGTGTGTTTCGGTTATATCAATCGGTACACAAAAAATCGAGGCATTATTTTAGAAGTTTTAGAGTTATAAAGTCCTCTGCCGTTGCTCGGCCGCTGCTTTGCCAGTAATCGCTGATGTAGAGAAACAGAACGAAAGGACTGTTAACAAGGAGCAGCCCCACCTGCTGCACGCACTTAGTTTTTAGTATTGGCAATGCAGCTCGACAGATGGCGCCACCTAAACTCCGATTGTTTTGTGGGGGAATATTTAGATTGAACTTTGCTAGCAGAGTAACGAGTAACTTATAGTCGATTTAACGAGTATAGCGTTCTTTTTTGACCCTTTTATATTTGATTTGCACTGTGACAACTCATCGGAGTCAATATTAAATTTGGTTGATGATTTAAAAAGCCAACATTGCGCGGAATATCAAGAAAGATTTACCGTTACCCGAATAGGCAAGCCCGAAGACTCACAAAAGACGGCTGATATAAATTCACACAATTAGTCGAGGGTCTCGACTATAAGATACCTGTTACTTGGCTAACCAATTTAAAAATAAATTTGCCTTAATGTACTTTCTCATTTATTGAAGAGCCATTGACCTTTGTCGCACAGATAATTCGTTCTAATTTTTTAGTAATTCGAAAGAATTTTAGCTTTACCATTAACGTTCCTTAAGTGTGCAACTTAACCAAATTAGCAAATTGCTATTCGATTTTATCAAGTTAAGATTCAAAAGCAATCATCACAATGATTTTTCTTATTAAAATGTAAATTTAAATTTATGACCTTTAAAAAATCCATCACATTAAGAATGACGTAATAGAATAAGACTATAACTCATGCGCACATGAGAAAAGGCTTTACTTTGATATGACAAAACTATGATTGTGCATTTATATCAACCTTGGCTGATTTCATAGTTCATGAATGGATTTCGGCTAATCAATAAAAATGCTGTTGGTTGTTAACATAGCTCATTTATTAAATTGTATTTTTTAAACTTTGCATGCCGTTATATTTATGCTTTCTATCTCACACACTAACAATAAATATATATTTTTATTTTTTTTTTTTTTAGTAATTTATGTAGGTAGTTAAGTTTGGCCCGTTTTCAGCGTTGTTAGAACCTGCGTTCAATATCGTTGGTAGTTCTCTTCGGTTAACATGCTAGATTTTATTGTGCAGTAAATGTATGCAAAACCAAAAAAAAAATATTTTAAGTATAGTGTTTTCAGTTTGAATGAATTATAACTCACAACAAAATAAGTCTTCTGCTCCAAAAACACAGTTGCCCAGCATTATTTGGTAAAAGGAAACAGTAAGTATGAGTCAGAATATAAACACATTTGTTCCAAAACATAAACTAACTCGATTTTGTAAGGGGCTGAACGCAGTTTCTAACGCTTTAATACTGGAATCGGGTTCTAATATAGCTTGCTCTTGTATTTTTTTTGTTGTTCTCTCGTGCTGCATTTAAATGACTTTCTTTATAACACTTCTCACTGCACTGAAATGTAACATAATTGAAGACTTTGAGCTGTATAGTTCAGTGAAACGTTTGTAGGGAATATAAAGTAACTTATGCTCTGGCTTCGGTGATTATTCCATAATAAAGACCGGGAGTTTTTTTAACAGACCGGACAGATTGAAATTGCAATTGCACTGTCACCTGTCACCCGTACATATGTAATTTTTGTAAATTATTATCAATGCAACATGTAGATTCTCTACAAAATACGGAATGTTTTTCTACCTTGGCTACCGATATATTTATCTAATTTCTTTTGTCTTATTATTATAGATTCTCATTGTTGTTTTTTACTTTTTTATTTACAATATTGAAACATTTAGGTGTTCTTGTCGTAATTCATGGAAGGAATTGAATGGTTTAAAGCTCGAAACTGAAACTGTTACAAGTTGGGAAAGTATTTTTTAGAAAGTTGAAGTATATATTTAATTGCAATTTAAATTATTGCTTTTACAATTTATGATCCATTAATTACATTATTTGCATTGCTCTTAGTATTTAAAAGTAATCTTGAGAAAATCTACTTGCCTTTAGTTTAATGTGAGGTTGTAGTGTTGTGTTCTAAGACGTGTTTAGTCCCCGCAAAAGGTGCGGAGACATCCTTCGTGATGTGTTTGGTTTTATTTACTAATAAAGTGTTCAAGTTATTTATTTAATTGATATTACTGGCGGTGCTTGGTTTGATAATTATTGATTTAGCTGTTGTGGGTTGACTGCTGCCTGCACATCAATACCGGAAACATTAGGTTTTGATTTCCATTTTTGTGCCCTGGCCAATACATACTTTGATCAATATCTATAGAATTTTACATATCTTTTACATAACTATAAATTGTCAATGCTTCCCATACATAATTAAAATTTATTATTTATAGCTTGGTGTTTAATAAATAGTTTTAAATAAATATATAAATTATATTGCAAACTTTGTCGGTGTACATAAAAAATTCGAGTTAAACTATACAAAATAAAGTATAAAATCATTTAACAGCCTTTGGTTGAAATTAGCTTAACTAGTTTGAATAATTATTGGATCGAAAAACTAAATAAATGTTTTAAACCTAACTACGTTCCACAGTTACAAATAAAAACAGTTATATGATTAGTTTTCGAATGGGTATTCGACATTCCATTAGATTTATCTAGTTGTCCACCGAATTCGATCGCAGTTGACTGTAACACGCTTGACACACCCTAACTGGCTTTAGTATTCGAAGGCGTGATATTTCCGACTCGAACCGACTGCACTTGTTGCAGAAAACTTGACCACAATTGCGACAATGGTGTTTCCTCTCATAAAGTGTAAACCTAAAATGAACAGATGGTTAAAGTTTAAATAAACTGAGTATGTATATATATAGCCTTAACATCTAAAAGAGCATATGCGACATATTTATAGTATCTTTGATTGCAATATGAAAACTAATGTTAAAACATCTGCCCAGAAAGTCTTAGAACTTTTCTATGTTTTTGTAATTCAGCTAGACTTACGTAAGCTACAATACAAGTGAAAAAATTGAAAATTTATATGAATTTGCATTCATGCCAAATTAGTTTTAATTAAAAATAATAATACCACGTATGAAACAAAGTTGATGAATTTTAATCACAAGTTTTTAAATGCATGCCAAGCTTATGTTAAGTTATCTTTTTGCCAAAATTATAATAAACAAACCATATTCTATAATAATAATTTGATATTTTGAGCAACTCACTTGACATGACATTTGACACACTGATCGGCACCCTCATCTTTCAGCCAATGATCGGCCACTCCACGACCTGGTTGCTCTGTAACGCTCCACGAAAATATGCGACCGCGTGCATCACCTTTAATTTATTGCAAATGGAAATGCAAATGAAACTGTTTCTTTATTGCATCAATCTAATGTTACACTTACCGACATATAGAATTTTGTGATCTTTGGATACCGTTAACGCTGTTATGCTAGCTGGTTCGGCATTATCCTTGCGATCATATGCTGTATGCATGGTCAGCTTTGAGCGGAACATTAATTGACAATATTAAATTTGGTTGATGATTTAAAAAGCCAACATTGCGCGGAATATCAAGAAAGATTTACCGTTACCCGAATAGGCAAGCCCGAAGACTCACAAAAGACGGCTGATATAAATTCACACAATTAGTCGAGGGTCTCGACTATAAGATACCTGTTACTTGGCTAACCAATTTAAAAATAAATTTGCCTTAATGTACTTTCTCATTTATTGAAGAGCCATTGACCTTTGTCGCACAGATAATTCGTTCTAATTTTTTAGTAATTCGAAAGAATTTTAGCTTTACCATTAACGTTCCTTAAGTGTGCAACTTAACCAAATTAGCAAATTGCTATTCGATTTTATCAAGTTAAGATTCAAAAGCAATCATCACAATGATTTTTCTTATTAAAATGTAAATTTAAATTTATGACCTTTAAAAAATCCATCACATTAAGAATGACGTAATAGAATAAGACTATAACTCATGCGCACATGAGAAAAGGCTTTACTTTGATATGACAAAACTATGATTGTGCATTTATATCAACCTTGGCTGATTTCATAGTTCATGAATGGATTTCGGCTAATCAATAAAAATGCTGTTGGTTGTTAACATAGCTCATTTATTAAATTGTATTTTTTAAACTTTGCATGCCGTTATATTTATGCTTTCTATCTCACACACTAACAATAAATATATATTTTTATTTGTTTTTTTTTTTAGTAATTTATGTAGGTAGTTAAGTTTGGCCCGTTTTCAGCGTTGTTAGAACCTGCGTTCAATATCGTTGGTAGTTCTCTTCGGTTAACATGCTAGATTTTATTGTGCAGTAAATGTATGCAAAACCAAAAAAAAAATATTTTAAGTATAGTGTTTTCAGTTTGAATGAATTATAACTCACAACAAAATAAGTCTTCTGCTCCAAAAACACAGTTGCCCAGCATTATTTGGTAAAAGGAAACAGTAAGTATGAGTCAGAATATAAACACATTTGTTCCAAAACATAAACTAACTCGATTTTGTAAGGGGCTGAACGCAGTTTCTAACGCTTTAATACTGGAATCGGGTTCTAATATAGCTTGCTCTTGTATTTTTTTTGTTGTTCTCTCGTGCTGCATTTAAATGACTTTCTTTATAACACTTCTCACTGCACTGAAATGTAACATAATTGAAGACTTTGAGCTGTATAGTTCAGTGAAACGTTTGTAGGGAATATAAAGTAACTTATGCTCTGGCTTCGGTGATTATTCCATAATAAAGACCGGGAGTTTTTTTAACAGACCGGACAGATTGAAATTGCAATTGCACTGTCACCTGTCACCCGTACATATGTAATTTTTGTAAATTATTATCAATGCAACATGTAGATTCTCTACAAAATACGGAATGTTTTTCTACCTTGGCTACCGATATATTTATCTAATTTCTTTTGTCTTATTATTATAGATTCTCATTGTTGTTTTTTACTTTTTTATTTACAATATTGAAACATTTAGGTGTTCTTGTCGTAATTCATGGAAGGAATTGAATGGTTTAAAGCTCGAAACTGAAACTGTTACAAGTTGGGAAAGTATTTTTTAGAAAGTTGAAGTATATATTTAATTGCAATTTAAATTATTGCTTTTACAATTTATGATCCATTAATTACATTATTTGCATTGCTCTTAGTATTTAAAAGTAATCTTGAGAAAATCTACTTGCCTTTAGTTTAATGTGAGGTTGTAGTGTTGTGTTCTAAGACGTGTTTAGTCCCCGCAAAAGGTGCGGAGACATCCTTCGTGATGTGTTTGGTTTTATTTACTAATAAAGTGTTCAAGTTATTTATTTAATTGATATTACTGGCGGTGCTTGGTTTGATAATTATTGATTTAGCTGTTGTGGGTTGACTGCTGCCTGCACATCAATACCGGAAACATTAGGTTTTGATTTCCATTTTTGTGCCCTGGCCAATACATACTTTGATCAATATCTATAGAATTTTACATATCTTTTACATAACTATAAATTGTCAATGCTTCCCATACATAATTAAAATTTATTATTTATAGCTTGGTGTTTAATAAATAGTTTTAAATAAATATATAAATTATATTGCAAACTTTGTCGGTGTACATAAAAAATTCGAGTTAAACTATACAAAATAAAGTATAAAATCATTTAACAGCCTTTGGTTGAAATTAGCTTAACTAGTTTGAATAATTATTGGATCGAAAAACTAAATAAATGTTTTAAACCTAACTACGTTCCACAGTTACAAATAAAAACAGTTATATGATTAGTTTTCGAATGGGTATTCGACATTCCATTAGATTTATCTAGTTGTCCACCGAATTCGATCGCAGTTGACTGTAACACGCTTGACACACCCTAACTGGCTTTAGTATTCGAAGGCGTGATATTTCCGACTCGAACCGACTGCACTTGTTGCAGAAAACTTGACCACAATTGCGACAATGGTGTTTCCTCTCATAAAGTGTAAACCTAAAATGAACAGATGGTTAAAGTTTAAATAAACTGAGTATGTATATATATAGCCTTAACATCTAAAAGAGCATATGCGACATATTTATAGTATCTTTGATTGCAATATGAAAACTAATGTTAAAACATCTGCCCAGAAAGTCTTAGAACTTTTCTATGTTTTTGTAATTCAGCTAGACTTACGTAAGCTACAATACAAGTGAAAAAATTGAAAATTTATATGAATTTGCATTCATGCCAAATTAGTTTTAATTAAAAATAATAATACCACGTATGAAACAAAGTTGATGAATTTTAATCACAAGTTTTTAAATGCATGCCAAGCTTATGTTAAGTTATCTTTTTGCCAAAATTATAATAAACAAACCATATTCTATAATAATAATTTGATATTTTGAGCAACTCACTTGACATGACATTTGACACACTGATCGGCACCCTCATCTTTCAGCCAATGATCGGCCACTCCACGACCTGGTTGCTCTGTAACGCTCCACGAAAATATGCGACCGCGTGCATCACCTTTAATTTATTGCAAATGGAAATGCAAATGAAACTGTTTCTTTATTGCATCAATCTAATGTTACACTTACCGACATATAGAATTTTGTGATCTTTGGATACCGTTAACGCTGTTATGCTAGCTGGTTCGGCATTATCCTTGCGATCATATGCTGTATGCATGGTCAGCTTTGAGCGGAACATTAATTGACGTTGCCATCTGAAGCCTAAAATGTATAGAAACATGCTTTATAAATCTTAAGTTGGCTTTCTTTAGGGTTTTTTTTTTAGCTAGTTAGCTCCTAGTTTTCTTTACCCATGCTGCAATTATAACTGATCCAAACTTAAAAGTTTGGAGAAAGAGAGAACTGAATGAATTATGTTTGGAAAGAGTCGTACCTTTTCTCAGAACCTGATCGCCCCTCTGTCTGTCGTGATCTATTACAACGAATCCGTCAGTCAAGCTTGTATCTGATTTGCTCGGCCTTATAGAATGTTCATCTAAAGTAACAAGTTATATGTTAGCTCATGCAGACAAATAATTTGGATCGTTCTTACCGTCATTGGATTTAGGTTCAGAGCTGCTTTCCTTCGCTTCTACAGTAGCTGATTTCATTTCATGCAGGGACTTTGCTCCCGAAATTGAGCTTTTCCTGACCTCTTCTTGCAGCTCCGCTCTGGCACCTGATTCATGGCTGTGCTGTGAGGCCTCTGAAATGCTACTTTCCGAAGCGGATTTGACAATCTCTGAGGATGAGATAGTTAAATAAAAAGATTAAAACAAAAAACAAGACAAAAACGGATAACCACGGTTAAAAATCAGCTTGTAGAATCAGCGGTAGAGCTTGAACTGTTTGTCTTTGACTTCGAAATCATGGGTGATGCAATCAAATAGGCATGAGACATAATTCCATTAACGCGTTCAAAGAGCTCAGCTTAAGAAACTCAAAACAACAAAACAAACAAATTATTCAAGCCCACATTACTCTAATAGGCGAATATTTTCTGCGAATTCTCGTTTAATTTCGTTAGAATTTAATATATGTTATGATTAAACTAATCTTTTTTTTTTATATCCGCGTTAAATTTTTAAGGGTATATGGGTCTTCCCTATGATACAATTTTGAGGGGTCTTAGAAATAATAAATATTTGCTATAAATTTTTTAATTATATAAAACATGATCATTTCAAAGTCTATCATAGAAATGAAAGGTAAAGCCAATGCAAATGTATTCTTCATTTATATCACAAGTTTGCTTTTTCACCATAATCAAAAGGTTGAGTTACTTTGGCACATTATTCCATTAGCTTATGATTCCTATAAGTCTTTTATTCCGATCGAATCGAAATCGTTTTAAGCTAGGAGTTGAGATATTTGGATCGGTCATTCTTTTGAGCTAGGTCTATTGTGCTAAAAGAGGAGTCAAAATGCTATTTGAGTAGTCTAATCAAAAGGAACAAAAACGTTGGGAAACATGGAACTTCATGTGGGTAAATGTTTTCTATAGGAACTATGTGACTCCATGCCGCACTATAAGATTTCCATTAAAACAAGAAGGCGGACATGCCTATACCGACTCTTCCGCTGATGCTGATTACAAACGTGTGTTCTAAGGGTAATGTGTTTACTGCGCTGCAATTACATCAACATCTAAGGTCAATAAATGGTGCCAACTAACCCAGTTCTTCCTCCGACTGGGAAAGGCTTTTCATTTGCTTGATCAGGTTCATTTTGTCTTCTTTGTGATCCTCGCCTTCCAGAGACGCCGTGTCGGGTTTGTCCTGTGAAGACACCTCCATGCCTCGCTTTAACTTGCGATCGATGGGCACCTGTATGTGCTCCAAGGACCACATCTGCGCAGGGATGTAAATCGTAATTTGCAATTTATAAAAACTCTTTGGATACTCACCCTCACCACACCGTCGGTTGAGCCAGTAATGACCACATTCTGCTGGTCCCACTCGCGGATCTGAGAGAAAGCAACGCACAGGATTTGCTGCATGCGGTCCGCACTGCCCACACATG